TCAGAAGACCCGGGTTCCAATCCTGGCACCCACATGGCAGCTAACAACTGTCTGTAACTCTAGTCCCAGGGGATCTGACAGCCTCTTCTGACCTCCATGGGCATTGCACAACATGGGCACACTTACCTACATGCCGGCAATACACGCATACACATAAAATAAAAATAGTAAATAAAATTTTTTTTAAAATGTGTTGGCATTGACAAATGGTTCTTATACATTTGTTAAAATGATTGTATCATTGATTTTCAGATGTTAGCTCACTGCATCTCTGGAATGACTTCCACATGTTAATAGTGTATGTTTATTTGTTGTTTCTTTTTATATGATGGATTTGTTTCATAAATAGTTTATTGAAGATTTTCCCATTCATGTTAACAAGCAATATTAGTCTGGATTTCCCTTTTCTTCTGAAATCTTTGTCTGATTATAGAATCAGATTAAAACTGACCTTAGAAAATTAGGATGTGTTCCCTTGGCTTCTATTATTTTTAAGAGTTTGTGAAGAATTACTAATATTAAATTTTCTATGATCAGTAGAATTCAGTAGTGAAACCATCTGCACCTAGGTCTTACATTGTGGATAATTTCCTTTTTTAAAGTTTTTTAGTTGACAAAAATTGTAGGTACTTACAGTATCTCCCATGATGTTTTGATGCAGATATTCATTGAGGAATGGCTGTCAACTTTACCTATTATTTCATTAATTATCATGTTTGTAGTCTTCCATTCAATCTCTTCTTTTTAATGTTTATTCTAATTATCTATTTCAAAGTTAGAGATATGACTCAATGATTAAGAGTGCTTGCTGCACAATCATAAAGACCAGAGTTTGGATCCCAGTACCCACATAACAAACTGGTGTCCCACAACAAAAACCTGTAACTACAGGTCCAAGGAATCCAACACCCTCTCTTGGCCTCTGTCTGTGCATAGGCATGCATCCCAGCACATATAAGTGTGTATACACTCATGCACACATATACACACACAAATTAATAAAAATTTAATTTTTTAAATGAAAAGTGAAAAAGAGTCAGGTATGGTGGTCGCACCTTTAATCCCTATACTCAAGAGATAAAAGAAGGTAGATTTCTGTGAGAGTGAAGCCAGCTCATCTACATAGTGAGTTCTAGGCCAACTGTGACTGCAGGGAGGCCCTGTCTCAGAAATAAATGTAAAAGAAATGGATTCTTTGTTTTATCTTAAGTCAGTTTCCATAGCTCTTTTTTTTTGGGGGGGGTGAATAAGTTGGTTTATTACCCTTTGCAGTAAAGGAGAAAGCGCACAATGGGGAAACCTAGGGCGTGTTGGCCATAGAGTTTATTACAGGGTTCGGGCTTGTAGTGGATGTCTTTTATGAGAAGGAAATAAATACTATGTGGTTATTAAATAATTTTTTTAAAAAAAAGCAATACCATTCTAAATCATGTTACAACACAGATGGAAACATGAACTCTGTCCAAATGAATAAAATAATCAAATAGCCCATATCTGAACGCAGGGGCCCGCCATTTCTTTGTACATTACAGTTGTCATCTTGCCCTTCTCTGCTTCTAGATATTATAGTATCTAATCATAGAAATACCTTTGCTTCCTGATAGTATTTATTTCCATAGCTCTTTTTATTGATCAGTTTTGCAGATTTTCTCAGCAATCGATTTTCTATCTCATTACTATTCTTCTTTTGTTCTCTATTTCTTTATTTCTGCTCCAATCTATATCATCCCCTTCCTTCTGTGTGTTTAGATTACCTATTTAGTTTACATTATTGCTCTGGTCTTCCTTATTGGTCTTTTGCCTATTCCTTCTGTCTACTCTTTCGACATACGTAATACAAGGTTGCAGTCTGCAAAGTTTACACTGGAGAATAGAGGTGGAGAAAAAAAAAATCTTTAGAAGTTTTGTGTAAGTTTACCATTTTGTGTTGCTCTGCAATCATAACTATCCTGGGGTATGTACCATCTGTGGGCCATGGATTAGCCATGCTCTAAGCAACTGGAGTATTGACATCTTGAAATATTGTTGAGTTTTCTCTTTTTCCTTCCATTTCTTTACTTTTCTGCTTCATGTATTTTGTTATTCTTATATTGGGGAGATATATATATACATATATATGCATACATGTATACACACATATATATTTATAATTGTTACAGCTTTCTTGAAGGATTGAACTATTTATAAAATTTTTCTACCATTAGTAACAGGCTTCTGTTTAAAGGTCACTTTGCCTATTAGCTCATCTTCACAGGTTTTTCTGTATTTGCTATTTACTTGATGTTGTTACATCTTTTTACTTTTGCTCTATCTGTATCTTTGAATCTGCTGTCTTTGTTTTGTACCTCAAATGGTCAGGTTGTTTTCTTTAAAATTCTATCTTAAGCAGAGGCTGTGATTTAACAGCTTAGTTCATTCTCATAGGAAGTTTCCATTGCTAGTATTTTGTCCAGTATGGGTCACGTTTTCTTTTTACTTTACATGAGTCATCATTTTTGTTAGAAATTGGACATTTTCCATGATATGTTGAAGCAATTCTGAGAACTTGTTCGTCTTCCTAAGGCTTGCTGTTACTGTTTTCTTGTCTACGTATTTAGCAAATGATGAGTCATTTTACTGAAGTGTCTTCTCCTTTCTTTTCTTTGTCCCTCTCATACAGAGTAGTAAACCTCAGATACTCTTATTAGGGATCTATGGCTTTGACTCTGAGATGACAGTAATACTGGATTATTGTCTGTCCTTTCCTGGACTTCATCCATCTGTTGAAATCCACTAAGTACTGGCCTATTGTTCAATGTTTTGCCTCTACCACCCAGTATAAATTCCTCCCAGATGAATCTGGTCCTTCTGTGGCTCCTGGGATGGACTGTTTTCTGGGGTCAGTGTTGATTTTTTTATTAGCTCTCTGTTTTCTCTTTGTATATGTGTTAACTCTTCCCAGCTGTCTTACTTCCCAATTTTCTTTTGCAAACTAAAAGAAATTAGTCTGCTGCCTAGTCTATATCTTCATTCAATCTCCTAATCCTTTCCCAATTACTACTCTATACATTTACTGTTTTTGAGCATGCCCTTGGGTTTAAATGCCTCTCTGTTTGGTTTCAAATCTGTTTCTTTGGGAAGGAACCAGGTGGTATTTGCTTTATGACTTGATTGTCTTCCCAGGAAAAATTTCTGAGGAAGACTCAAGAACTGGGAGTGGAAACAATTGACAAACTCCTGTGAATGGTGCCCAGTCTCTAGGACCTGACTGCTGGGTGGCTACGATAGAAGGATTTGAAGTGATGAAGGCCTGTAGTCCTCTCAGCTTGCCTTTCAAAGTATGTAATCTTGCTGTTCAAAGGCCAAAGGAAGGCCCCAATATTCTCAATCTACCACATCAAAATTGAACCTATATTCTACAAGTACAGTTTGTATGAAAGAAGGAAGCAGCCATCCCCCAACTGTATTCACTCAGAATCTCAGCCGCAGGGAGCTGGGGATAGGAGGAGGAAACCTAAAGCCCCGCTCCTTCTGTTACAAAAGAGCTGGAGCTGAGGCCTGGGGCAGCCACAGTCCTGAGTAGTCTCTGATATGCTGCCTCTGCCTTGCTACCTGGGAGGATCCAGGAGCAGGCTAGTCTTGATTCAAACCTGCAGACTCACTTTTCTTAACAAATTTCATAGATTACATTGGATATATTGTTCTTCCTTTGCTGTTTGTTTGCCCTTACAGTCATTTTCAGATCATTTGAAAGGTTGTTGCTTTGTATGTAATTTTCACTAATTTCAGTACAATTCTCCACACTTTATTTTCAGAAGTCAATCTATCTCACTTACAGTTTCTGTTTAATTGTATACAATACCTCCAGATGGACTTATCTTTGCTGCTCAGTTCAATTTCCAATTTTTCTATAGCTTCTCTCTATCAAAATGCTGCCAACCTTATATCAGTTTTTCAAATTTTCAAATCTAGCAGAAAAATGAAGTTTTGTTTGTGTTAAGATCTAGAATGCATTCGAGCGTCTCCTGCTGGCTATAATTTTTCTTTAAGGTTACAGTGAAGAGAGCATGCTTCTCCACCAGTGTCTCATCACTCTTTTGTCTGTGGGTTAGTTTGGGTTCAGGAGGAGTCTAAAAGGAATGGAAAGTTAGGAAGAGGAAAGGTTTCTGCATTCTGGAGTCCACACAGAATCTAAACTCAAAGGAAGTCCCCGTGTGCTTTTCCTTTGCTGTGCACCTGATTTGTCATGAAGTAGTCATCCTTTGCTGAAACTTAGCCAGTCTTTAAAAAAAAAAAAAAAAAGTCAGCAAGTGACTAATCAAACATGGCAAGACTGGTCAGTCATAACACAGGAAACCACAAAATGATGAGAGACCTGGGGATGCCCAAAGAAAGGAAATCAGTAAGGGTGCGCCTTCAAATTCTTCCAAATCTTAGCTTGCAAGATCTTCTAAGACTTCTGGAAAACTTTCATGAGAGCTAGTAAGAACCCTTCAGCCAAATGACTCAGAGATGATTCTGTAAATCTTGAATGCTTAGGGCTGGGTCTCCCCAGTCAGTGAAGTGCTTGCCACACACGCATGAGGAACTGAGTTTGAAGGCTTAGTGTTAACTGTCAACTTGACTTAATCTATAATCACTAGTAGACAAGCCTCCAGACACACTCCTGAGTAATTATTTAGCCTCTGGGCATATTTGTGAGGATTTGGAAGAGAGAATACCCACACTAATAGTGAGCAGCACCATTCCCTGGGTTTAGGTCATGGGTTTAAAAGGAGAAAACTAGGAGAGCACAAGCATTTAGCTACCGCCCTCTGCTTTCTGATTGTGGATGGGAAGTGACCTTAAGCTCCCAATGCCTTGATACTCCCCCACAATCCCCATCATGATGGGCTATACCTTGAACTATGAATTAAAACAAACCCCTTCCCCCTAGAATTGCTTTGTCAGAGTATTTTATCATAGCAACAGGAAAAGAAACAAAGATAGATCCTCAGTACTCACATAAAAATCTAGGTGTAGTGACAGGGATCTTTAACCCCAGTGCTGGAAAAGCTGAGACAGGAAGAGCCTTGGGGCTTGATGGACTGTCAGTCTAGCCAATCAGCAGCTTCAGACTCAATGAGAGCACTCATCTCAAAAACTAAAAGGCAGAGAAAGATTAAGGAAGACATTTGATGTCCACTTCTGGCCCCCACACACAAGTAGACACATGCATACACACATATACAAACATGTATGTGCACATACACACACAAGAATGAACATACACACACACACACACAAACTTGGATGCTTGACTTTACAAAGACCTTTAAGATTTTACTTCTACATCAGGTGAGGTGGTGCATGCCTATAATTCAAATATTTCAGAGGCTGAAATAGGAGAATTGAAAGTTCCTGGCTAGCCTTGGCTACATAACAAGACTCTTTGTCATAAGCAAACAAAAATTACTTCCAGTTAGACTTTACATAAAATAGGTTTGTGGGAAGGATTCTCAGAGAATCTTATTTGTAAGTAGAAATGCTATTGTGCAGGCATTCTAAATTTGTCTCCCAAGAGATCCATTCTCCAACTTTCCCTGCCTGGCCTTTTCTCCAGAAGCAGTTTCATCCAGGTTCATCATCAGGCTCCAGCACCTTGCTGGCTAGTTTCCCAATGGATTTAGCCAATAATTTACATTAATGTGAGACTGGGGTATGTGAAAAAAGAAATATTGGGGTAGTTATGCCCTGATTCTCTCCTTTCTGTCTCTCTGGCAGTAGCTTCATCTCTGTACTTGCTGGGTCCCTCCTTCAAGGTTCTTGTCCTTATCAGGCTCTATGAATACTAGTTATTCACTCAAGAGCTTCCTCCTGTTCTAGTTTCTATATGCCTTACTGTCTTAGTCCATTTTTTGTTGCTAAAACAAAATATCTGAGATTTCATAATTTATAAAGGAAAGAAAATTATTTTGGCTCATAGTTCTGGAGAGTGGAACAGCCAAGAATGGGGGCCTAGTGCTATAAGAGTCACTGGCTTTCTTTAAATAGCCTGCTTTCCTAAATTAAAGTTCACTCTAGTTGAAGTTGTAGTAGCATTAATGCACTCATAGCTTTGGTGTTCCCATGGTCTAACCTCCTCTTAAAGGTCCACCTCTCAAAACCATTAAATGAGGAATCTTTGAGAGTTTCAGAAGCGGCAAACTCCATTCAAACTTTAGCACTATCTCTTATGTTTCCTTAACCCTGCATACGCTTTGTAAGTAGTCTCAGTCTGTATCCTTTGGGCTGAATTCTGTCTCTGTATGGTTCTCTGGGAGTTTACATGTTTTAAAGTCTTCTATGTGGATAATGATCTCTAAGCCTCATGACCGCTTTGTAAGACATTAACATTGTTAACCCATCTTTTAGACAAAGAAACATGATTTAAGCAAGTAAAAGATCTGAAATCATCCCCTAATGAGTCATAGGATTAGTATTCAGCTTCCTAACAAAAGCCATTTTCTTTATTACGTTTATATTTATGGACAAGTTTTATTTACAGTTTTCTTCCAAAAACTAAGTATTTAAATGTAAGGCAAACTTTGTCCTATAGATATATTAAGTCCAAATCCTCATTATGAAATAGAATTTGATGAAATTCACAAGTAAGCTTCTAAATTCAAGTAAATTACATATATATATATATACATATATATATATATATATAGTCCCCCAGGTTGGTCATGAACTCATGAGCTTCCTGCCTCTGCCAAGGCTGAGATTATAGGCCTGTACCGCAAAGCCTATCTTCTTGGCTTTTCATTTGTTTGTTTCATGTTTTGTTTTGTTATGTTTGGTTTAAAATTTTTTAATTGAAATTTTGTGTATTTCATGCAAAACATCCTAATCATCTTTATATCCCCTTCCCCATCGGCCCCCTCTCATGCCCTCCCTGAAATTATACGTTCTGTTATTTGTGTTAAAGCCTATCATGTCAAGTTAGTGTCCCCAGATGTCCTTCAGTGCACATTCATCCAATGAGGTCTGAGTCCCTTTTTTATGGGCGGTGACTGGGATTCTTGTCTGTAAACTTAAGGATCCATATTTTGCACATAGGAGGAAATTACAAGGTGTTTTGATCAAATCCACACCCACTCCCTCCCCTCCAACACCTCCCATATCTCCCTATCACTTTTCACTTTTTTCTAACAACTTTTTGTATTCTTTCTCTTTCTTTCTTTCTTTCTTTCTTTCTTTCTTTCTTTCTTTCTTTCTTTCTTTCTTTCCTTCTCTTTTTGTCGGCTTTTTGCTACTCTAACATGCCCCCTCTGAAGAGATAACCCTAAAATCTTTTAGGGATTAAATAAGAGCTCCCAAATAATTCTGACATTTTTGGTCTTTGGAACAGAGTAGGTTGCTAAGAGGCCCAAAGACATTTTGACTCTTAGCCAAGAAACTGGCTATTTTTCTTTGGGGTCTTTTTACCCTAACTGCCTGGCCAGTTCTTACCTCCTATTCTTATCACACCAACCTCTGAAGAGGTTACCCAAATTGCCAATAGGGAATTGGGACACAGACTGCTCTGGCTTCTTCCATGCTGAACAAGGATGCAGGGTGAGGCAATTGGAGTACCCTTCAGTGGGTCTATCTAAAAGACTCCCAAATTACATAACTCTTATCTGTAGGGAGAAAAGAAGGTTCTTGGCTGGTGAACAGGGGATGTGAAGAAGTAAAGGCAAGAGTAGTTAGCATTCCAAGTTCTAGACAGGAACATTAACTCTTTTACCCTTCCATTTTCAACACTCCTCTTCGCAACCCATTTAACATCTATACCTACCTTTTAATGACTTTGAAGGCTAATTTCTGCAGAATCCTCTACTGGTGTCTGTAGCTGGGTGATTCGGGTCCAATTCACAAAAAGTGGAAGCAGTTAGTTCTTTCACTGATGAAAAGAAGCAATCTCAGCTCTTTGCCTCTGTCCCCGTCTCTAAGCTTCAAATAATAATGTGACATGTGAATCTACTGCAGTTATAGTGTGAGTCAACATATTCAGAGTTGTTAAGTAAATATATGTTTCTAAATGACAAATAAGATTTAAATAATCAGTTAATCTAAATTTAAATAATAAGCTAAATTTGAATTTCAGATAAATTATGGATACATTTGTAGCATATATATTCCAAATATTTTATAGTATATATTTTAAAAAGCATAATTTTATAGATAATACACACATACTAGTTATATTGTGAATAAGAGCCAACATATTCAAAGTTTCTAAAGAAATATATATAAAACAAAAACTTCTATATTAGACTGAAGTTATAGACTTATTGCCACAATCTCTTTTTAAAAAAACATGATCGCAGCCGGGCATGGTGGCACAAGCCTTTAGTTCCAGCACTTGGGAGGCAGAGTCAGGTGGATCTCTATGAGTTCAAGACCAGCCTGGTCTCCAAAGTGAATCCAAGTCAGCCGCAGGCTACAGGGAGACTCTGTCTCAAAAAGACCAAAAAATAAAAATTAAAAAAACATGATTGTTATTGTTAATAAAACATAACATGTTTGTTTTATTAAATATTGAATTGATAAATAATGCTTATAAAATGTACATGTCAAAAATATGGATAGACATGGTGGTATACTCCTTTAATTCCAACACTCTGGATGCAGAGGCTGGTGAATTTCTATGAGTTCAAAGCCAGCCTGGTCTGCACATCAAGTTTCAGGCCAGCCAGGGCTACATAGTAAGACCCTGTCTCATAAAATACAAAAAGAAAGGGGGGAGGGGAGAGGAGAGAGGAGAGGGGGACAGGGGAGAGGGGAGGAGACAGAGGAGAAGAGAGAAGAGAAGAGAAGAGAGAGAAGAGAAGAGAAGAGAAGAGAAGAGAAGAGAAGAGAAGAGAAGAGAAAAGAGAAGAGGATTATGCTGAACAACTAGTTAATCACCACCTAGCTCAAGACAATCCCTGTCCTGGGTTGTTTTTAGTTTTCCTTTTCTTTTTAGTTTCCTTGTTTTGTTCATCTTTGTCCCCTTTAGAAGTTGAGTAACCCAAGCAAAGTGTTTGTTGCTCTGCAGTAAAGAAAAGCCAGCACCTCCATCCCCACCACCCTCCCACATACAGATGCTAGGCTGAGAATGATGCAGATTTAAAAACAGGAAGGCACTTAATCTTCATCCTCAAAAGCAGCCACTAAGGCAGAGTTGTTCTTTTCAGAGTTAGGTTTCTAGAGAGACAAGGTACAAGACAAACCAAGGAGAGGAGGAAGTCTTGCTGTTTAGAGATTGGAATCTAGGTCTTTGGGTGCTTTCAGAGAAGCAACTTCAACTTTCAGGTTTCTATAGGAGTTCCTCTGCCTCTCCCAGCTCAACCCCTGACTGGCACACCCCTACCAAGCCTCCCTCCTGAGACTCTGCATATGCTTTTTTACTAAATGACTCTTCCCTCCGTTATCTCCTCACGGGATACATCTGTTGGGTGCCTAGCATCGTCAGCTCCGCTTTCATCTTTTCATGTCTCAACACATTGTTTCCTCCAGTCCTGGTGCCAGTGTGGAAGGGAGCCATCCGTGCCCATCCGCCCTCTGGGATTGGCAGCGAATGAATGATTGGCAGCGGGCATCTCTGTCAGAGCTTTGGCATGCCGCAGAGTCGAAGCCCCGTGCTAATGAATGCCATCTACACCTACCAGATGTGCCACTGGGTGACATGCCAGATCTTTTACATAATGCCATTCTGCCGGACATGAGACAGCTGGGGGTGGGGGTGTCTTTTAATGCCTTGGGGTGGAAGTGAGTCTGTCTTTCCTTTATTTCATTTCTTTTTTTTAAATTCAGACCACCCGCCACTGTCCATAAGCCCAACCAGCTCACTTTATGTTAGCCTAAACACTATGGTTGGGGGTGTGTTAAGAGACAGCAGGAAGCTGAGCTCCCGGAATACCTTCTCTGACCTCCACATTCATTGCCTTTCTGCTCACCAGGCCATCACGAAGCAGGAAAGGGAAATGGGTAGAAGGTTAGATTAGAAATCAAAGCACTGAGCAGAAATAAAGTAAAAGGGGGATGCCACGGTTCCCATCTCCCTTCACCCAGTAATCTGGGCTCCCTTTTGTCTCTCCTGTGTTAAAGGTACATGAATGAGCTTCCCACACTTTGGCGCCCTCTCTTATTCTTCCCCCTTCCACCATTCGAAGAAAACTTTCACCCCCGAGGGTGATGTCCTGCCCAGGTTCTGGCTGAAGAGGTTGTTAAGTGTGGAGGTGTCCAAACACCCTCCTCTTGGAAAAGAATGTTTCCTGGAGTGGGGTGGACAAGGTGGGAGGCGCGGGAAATGAGACATCTCTTCAAATCTACTGACGCCAGGTGTGTCCTACCTTCCAGGTTGGAGAGTCTCCACCGTAGAGGGAAAACTGCGGGGGGGGGGGGGGGGGGGATTGCTAGGCTGATCCCTACACTTTCATCAAACCTTGGGGATGTCCTGGAATCTGGGTGACCTGAGGAAGGTAAAGCTCTGCGGCACCACCCAGGAACCATACCCTTCTCACACACTCTTCTAGGAGCACTGCAAGGACAGGAGGCCACCCTCGCCACTCTCCGGTCAGGCCCCTGCTCTGGGCCGCTGGGCCCCTGCAGAATGGGCTGGTCCCGAGCACCCGCACCCCGCCCGCCGCGTGGCTCCAGATGGCGGCTGGGTGCATTGGGCTTGCCTGCCCCCAGACGCCGCCGGGCAGCAGCCGGCAGTTACTCCCTCCCTCCCTCCCAGCTGCTGCTGCAGAGCCCGGGACTGCCGGGAGAAGCCCGCGGAGTCGAGATGGGGCGGGACCGAGGTGGAGGGAGCGCAGGATTACAGAGCGCCACTCGCAAGGAAGGAGCCGCTGCACTCCACAGGTAAGGAAGCTGTGGATACTCGCGGGGATGCCAGCCCGCAGTCTAACTCCCGGGGACCACCCCCACTCTCTCCCTTCACGTTCTTTCCCTACTCCTATCCCACGAGTGGAGGGCGGAGCCGTGGTTGGATCCCACGCAGGGGACTGCGGATAGAGGCGGCTCAGCGGCCAGGAGGGGGCGCCCAGCACCCCAGAGCAGGGGCTGGAGGCGGGCTGCGTCTGAGCCTCTGGCCCCAGTCAAGCGGCAAGTAGTTTCGGCCAGAAGGACGTCCTCTTCTGGCCAAGAGCAGTAATGCCCACCACCGGGGTGGGGTGGGGGAACACCCACTTCTCCATTTTTCTTCTCTCTTTTCCTCCTCTCCTCTCTTCTCTACTCTTTTTCTTCTTCCTCTTCCTCCTCCTCTTCCTCCCCCCTTCCCCTCCTCCTCCTCCTCCTCTTCCATCCTCCTCCTCCTCCTCCTCCTCCTCCTCCCCCCCCTCCCTCCCTCTTCCACCTCCTGCCCCTCCCTCTGTCTCCCCCTATTCCTCCCACACACGCCTCTTGGTAGTCTCCCCAATTCCCGGCGTTTTATTTGCCAGCTGGGAACTGGTGTGACGGGCCCAAGGTTTTCTGCCCAGGCTCTTGCTCCATACAGGTGCCTCCCTGGCTGCGAGGTCAAATAAGCCTTCTGGAGCTTGACCCTGACTGCTACGAGAAGCTGGGAGCCAGGGTGTTTGTTGGACTGGAGAGTACTGCGAGAAGCATCGCTTCCTAGGAATGTGAGGCTCCGGGCTCCCCTTTCTGGACGGAAATGCGCGAAGTTCAGTGACCCGGTGCTGAGTTCCTTCGTGTCAACGAACTCGCAACATTCGAGAGTACCCTCTCTTTACATAGAAACCCCGCTAGACTTAAAGTCAGCCTCCCAGACAGTTCTCATTGTTTCTTCCAAAGCCGAGGTTGGAGGAGAAAGGACACTAAAAGGCGGCGGTTCCTGGGACCTCTGTGCCAATCTGATGTCCACTCTCATCCCTTAGTGTGGGGGCACGCGACTGCGGTGCCCTCAAGCCCCTGAGCTGTATCCCCCGAGAACAGATTCCCTAAACTCCCAGAACAAATCCCTTCTGAAACATTAATCACTAGGAGCAGCGAATGCAAACTGTACTGTATGCCCATGCGGGGTCTGTCTTTTAATCCCGCTGGTAATTCTGTAAAACAGCACCAGAAAGGACTCTATTAATCCCTTACGTGAGTGAATGCGATCTCTGACCTACTGGGCTTGTTTCCCTGCACTCTCATGAAGCATTGGTCTAGGTAAAGGCATCGACAGGGGCAGAAAGGAAGCACAGGCGGGGGTGGGGCGGGGAGGAGAAACCCGGGTGCACTTTAATCAAAGGCGGTCCTGTTGTGGAAGAGACTCCTTAGTCGGAAGTCCAAAAACTAGACCCGGGCGGTGGCAGTATCAAGGGTGGAAGACAAGGAGTTGGATAGAGGCTCGGAGCTGGTTGGGAGTGGAGTTGGAACCCGGTTCCTTCCCTTCCCCTCAGAGACTTCGAATCCCGGAGGGCACTGGGGGCTGTCCCCTTGAGTGGGCGCCGGTGGCGGAGGAGGATAGCCCACAAAGTTCAGGAGTCAGAATTTGCCCCCCCCCCAGGCCTGTTGCTCGCACTTGAGATTTCACTATCTTGTCGTTCAATTAATCATATTTCACTTCTTTCGTTTTATTCAAAACCGTCTTCCAGTTCTCGCATAATCGTAATTTGCACCATTGCCTTTTATCTTTGATTAATTAGGAAACTGAAAATGATAATGGAGGGTTGGACCAATAAATTAGCTTTAGGAGCAGACGGACCGACGTCGGGGCTGCTGCATGGGTGGGCGCTGTGGTCCTTGCGGCCTGTTGCTTAGGGAGGGGTTAAACAGGGGAAGGCGGCGGGGGGCGGGGAGGGGGGAGCTCCGGACCGAAGCTGGCGCTGAATTGCACCTAGCGGGTACAAAGCGAGGACCGCTCACAGCCCAGAGAGCCCAGATTGCAGGGATGTTTACTCCTTGCTGTCTGAGTCTGGTCTTGGAGAGCAGGAAAAGCGGAAGTACAATGAGGGCGGGACTCTTTCTTTCTGAGGCCTGGCTATACTGGTGCCTCGGTTTATAGTCGACTTTGTGAGTGTTGTGTCCATTCTTTTCAGCTATGGGTTAGGAAGTACACTGACTTTTGCATTCTGTCCCAACTCCTCTTGCCTTCCAATTGGAAGCAGGAAGGAAAGGCGAGGGACTGACAGATTCTAAAATCAGGTCTACTGCCCTCGAAGAGGCGCCTGCCTGCCCTTCCGCCTCTTTTCTTCCTCCATGAAATCGATCAGGCCTCCAGACAGCTGAAGGAGAGCACTTTGCCACTCTTCACAGCTTTGCCCCAGCCTCTTTAGCTTTCAATTGAAAACCAATTAAACGTTTCTATAAATCTGTTAGCGCCCCTTTTATCTGGGGACCCCTGATGCATGCGATATTGCCCTTTAGATGCCTCTTCCGTGTTTTGTTTTACAATTGTTGTATCAATATAATGCGGCCTTTCTTCTCCTGTCTCTATAGATACAGATACACAAGGAGAACCAAAGCTATTCAGGCTCGTCATTTGTCCAGGAGCCTAACAGCGGTGCCCTTTCTCTGCGGCTGCTTTCCCTGCTTCGGTAGCAGCAGTTATGGTAGAAGCAGATGGCTGCTGATTGGGGGAGTTTTGTGGCTCTAATGCTGAATACTTTATGGAAAAGGACTTGATCATGCTTCATTGGGCGGAGGAACAAGGGGATGAGATTTATGGCCAGGAAAAATAAATCTTTTTCCAAGTCGCGGCTCCTTCTCACCAGTGTGTCCTTTGCCCCTTGGGTCAAACACTAAGGAATTGGTTTGATTTGATTTTATTCGCCTTGCTGCTAGCAGCACTTTTTAGTCAGGGTCTGAGGGGAGAGTAGTCTAAGAGCCAGAAGTTTATGAAATACCCCAGGTTGTTGCTGCTGCATCAGCACTCTCCAGCACAAGGTAAAAAGAGCAGAAGGGCATGGTCTTAAATGCTGGGTGGGGCTTGTTTTCCTGGATGTCTTATTGCTTGCTGGGTAAGGTATCATTGCGGATTATCCTGTTATCGCAAGGAACAGAAAAGGATGCCCCCATGGCCAAAGTTAGTGGAGGATGCTGATACTGAAGGAAAGGGGAATGGTAATAGGCTAAGACAGGTGTAGTTCCCACTCTGAGCTGAGAAGCTGGTTAAGACATGTATGCTAATGCAAGATTTTTAGACTGAAATTGAAATTCAGTTGAGGACTACAGATGATTCATTCTTCTACTAGAGACCAAATTCACCCCCAAGAAATGCCCATATCTTTGCTCTTCTCTTCTTCTCCCCTGAGTTTTGCTTCTCTTAAGTCAGGTGTGCTCTGTGTCTGCTGCTGGAGTGTGCCCTTTCTCTGGCTTTTAGAACCTACTTTTAGAGCAGTACCACCCTGTTCCTGAGGGATTTCCTTGCCAAAGGCCTTCACTAAAGTAAAAGCACACAGAGGAGCTACTAACATCACAGGGACCTACACAGTCCCTGGAAGCCTGACACCAAGAGAGGTCAGTCATCTAAATGCAGGCTCTCCCTTTCTATTTCATGCAGACTCCTTTCCCTGACTTTCAAAATACAATTTCTCATTTTTAAAAATTTGTTGAGCCTCCTCTGTGTTCCAAGACCCCTTTCTCCTGCTTTTCCTATTTTAACCCTGACCCTAAAAACTGGAAAGTTCTAGACAGTTTCCAGAATTGTCACATAGTTTTCTGGCACCAACTTTTCCTTCTCTCTGAGGAACTCTACCACCCCACTTTCCAACATGCACCTTTGCAACAGCATCCTCTCTCTCTCCTCTCCCTCCCTCTCTCTCTCTCTCTCTCTCTGTCTCTCTCTCTCTGTCTCTCTGTCTCTCTCTCAAAACATGCTGTAAGAGAGCTAAGATTTCAAAAGCTGTATTTACCCAGCACTTCAAAGATAAGTGTCCAGATGCTTTCAGTGACTTTTTAGGCTTTTCCTATGGTGCTGCTAGGCCAAATGTTCTGCCACACTTAATTCTTAGGCTAACACTTTAAATATTGCTACCAGCATAGATCCCTTTGCTTCACAGGAAATAACAGCACAGAGAAGCGAGTTAACCCAAGCAAGTGAGCCAAGTGATCTGAACCCAAGAGCCATTCAGACACACAGTTATCAAATTAAAGACCCAGAGATCATGTATTCTTGTTCAGGATCCCAAATAGTGAGCTCTTAACTATTGATTCTTGGATCCTTTAGGACAAGGAGGAATTGGATATGCACAATTATCTCTGGGTGCAGAGACTGGGCTGGAAGTTTCAGAGAGCCAGAGATCATGGAATTGGGACAAGCATAAGGAACCCCTCAGGGCTCCTCCTTTGCAGGAGGAGTAGGGTAGGAGGAGGTGGCTGCTTGGCCTTGCATTAGTACCAGGTGTGTTGTGGGAGGGGGGCGTCATTTCAATCCTGTGACCTAGGGAGTGTAGTGCTTAGGGCATAGCTTGCTGACCACCACTAAGAAAATTAGCTCTACTCTACTCTCCAGGTCTGTGACAGCTGCCTGGTCCTGTCCTGCTCTAAGTGTGCAGGGGAAGACCAGGCCACCACCACCTTTTTCCCAGGGCTAGCAAACTTGTGAGCCCTTATGCAATGTGAAGACCAGTCTCACATGTTTCTCATCCCACGGAGCCACCTTGCCTCAGACCTTGCCATGCTGAATCTCCCTGTATCTTATGTCAGTGGCACTGGTGGCACCTCCAAGCCTGAAGCAAGAGGGCCCAATGGGCATGGGGAGGTTTCTTCTCCTACCATCTTGTTCCCTGCAGCAAACTGGCCCCTCTTTGTTCTAGTTGGCCTTCAATTGCTGTGATAAAACACTATAATCAATACCAACTTGGGAAAGAAAAGGTTTATTTTATCTTACATCTCCTGGGTCACTGAGGGAGCCCAAGGTAGGAACTTGGGGCAGGAACCTGGAGGCAGGAGTTAAAGCACAGGTCATAGAGGAACACTGCTCACTGGCATGGTCCCCTGGGTGGTGCTCAACCTACTTTCTTATTTATTTATTTATTTATTTATTTATTTATTTATTTTTATTTTATTTTATGTGTATGTGTGCATTGCCTGCATGTAGGTAAGTGAACCCCTGTCTTGCAATGCCTGTGGAGGACAGAAGAGACTGTCTGATCCCCTGGCACTGGAGTTACTGGAGTTACAGACAGTTGTTAGCAGCCATGTGGGTGCTGGGATTCGAACCCAGGTCTTCTGCAAGAACAGTCAGTGTTCTTATCCACTAAGCCATCTCTCCAGCCCCTCAACCTGCTTTCTTACACAATATGGACCACCTGCCCAGGAGGTGCCCTCAACCAAGGTGTATCAAGTTGACAACTAAAGCTATCCACCACACTCATCCTTGCAGCCAGCTGGGTAGAGAGGCAGAGAGTATGTGTTAGAGTGGCATTTTGGGTCTGGTCAGTAGTGAAAGAACCTTTAAAAGATATTTGCTGCCTGTAGTGTCTGCTAATGCCTTCATCCAGAAGTCCTCAGCCTTCAGTGAACCCCTTGTAAAGCAGGTGAATAATAAACTTCTCAACTTTTCCAGTGAGGTTGGGAAGATGGTGTTAGTAATCACAGACAGCAATTAAATGGATATTTACCATATTCAAGGCCAAGGCATGGTTCTGTGCTAAGTGGCAGCTCAGCCCTCTCAGTAACTTCATGGAGAAGGTTCCTTCATTGCCTTCCATCCATAAATGAGGCTGAAGCACACCAGGAATCTCCATATAGATGGCAGGCAGCTGAACCCAGACAATATAGCTCCTCTGGTGGGAATGTGGGCTTACGGTCCTTCTTGGGTCAGTGATCTAGGCTTCTAACTAAGGAGAATGTTCACTAATGAAGGCACTGAGATCTCTCCAGGATCTGAAAGACTGAAATGAAACTAGCCCCAGCTCTTGGAAGTAATCCCTTACCATCTGCTCAGCAACTGGCTTTCCAAAGTGTGCTCACCCCGGTTCCCTCACTGAGTCCTCACTGAGGTCCCCAAGGCAGTTCCTGCCAGCATTAGTTCAACTGCAGGAAAAATGGAGGCTGAGCTAGGTCACTTGCAGCTCAGCTAGAGAGAGTTAGAAACACTGGCACTTGCTCCTGGAGAGAAAGTTGGGTGAGGTTTTGCACAGTAGCAAGTGGAGAGTGATGTTGGTGAAAGGAGTGATGCTGTTCTTGCAGACTTCATCCTGGGGACTCCGTTCTGCAAGGGAGGAGATCATTGGCAAGGAGGCAAGGAGGCAATGGAAGGCTAAGGAACCTGGAAAATGAGGCAAGCCTTTGAAACTCCACTTGGCCCTGCTTTACCGACCGCTCAGGAGCTCACCCTTTTGCCAAGGCATCTATAAGGATGGACCCCTCCTCTCACTGTTGGTGACATATTTTATCCAGATGGCATCTGCTGTCAGCTGCTCTGCACTCCTGTGAGTCAATGCAAATGTAATGGAGCCAAGCCCTCTTCAAAGCCTAGGAAATGCAGTGGGGTGGTGCCTTCCTGGAAACCCTTAGTTTGGCCTTCTCTGCACTCTTAGCTGTTTTGCTGTGCTTTTTGCTGAGACAGGACACCTGAGAATCCAGACACCAGGAATTTCCCAGATCCAGCAAGCATCCCCATGCATTGCTTTGCCTTGCCTTCCAAACTCTGGGCTCTGATTCAGTTTTGAGGGGGGTTGGGATAGAGCACCTAAGCAGTCTAGGGAAGAAATAAAACCTGCTATGTTCTCAGTGGCTTTCTCCAGGGTATTTTCACAAGATTAAGGAACCCCACTTGTATGCAAACATTAACATGCTAAGATATCACATAAACCTTAGATTGTAAATAATATTCTGGGGCATGGCATGTGTTCACACGCAAAGCATCACAAGGTAAAATTATACTGAGAAAATATATTCCTCAGAACTCTACCAATTTGCCTTTCCAGGACCAATTGCTTTACCATATGACTTCCATCAGTTGTGTTCTCCAAACCACTTTATAGACATGAGGTCAAGGAAAATAACAGCTGCAAAGCTACATTTTTCTAATTGCTAATTTCAATAACCTTTACCCTCTGTCATAAATATGAGAGAGAGAAAGAGAGAGAGAGAGAGAGAGAGAGAGAGAGAGAGAGAGAGACCCATGAGTACTTAAGCATATAGTTGTTGTTCTGGTGGCCTAAATTGAATTTGAGATCTAACCAACCACAATATCACAGTCATTATACTCAATTATGTTTATTCTTAAACATTTTTAAAGGATTAATTTGACAATTCTGGATTCTTATTAAAATGTTAGGGAAATCTATTAATATATTGGTTATCATATTACCAGGAACTAGCATACCAGTGTGAGAACTTGCTTTTCAGCTAATACATTCAAAAGGACAAACATGAATGTCATCCTCTCCTGTCTATTGTTTCCTCCACTTCATTCACTGTTGTTTGTAGTAATTATGGTATTAGTGTTGATTTTAAAAATTCACCTTTGGAGTTGAAAAGAGACTACTCCTCCAAATATTGGCATTGGAAAATACATATATTGGTGGTTTGAAGTACCTTTGAAAATCTGTTGAAAGCTGTAGGCTTTCCATATAACACTTAGGAAGACAGTCTCCATTGATGTTAAATTTATTCATGAAACACCTGTGATTCATTTGCATTGAAATCAGGAAAGATGGTTTGTACTCCAACAGTTCAATTGGCAATATAAGCAAGAGAGCAATTTAGGTATTTGGGGACTTCCAAGACTCTTGAAAAGTAAT